ACAACACAGAGCTGATCTCAACCCCAGATCTTCAGAGTTCCACCAGCTGGGGATGCTTATTGGTTCTTTTGGAGATAAATGGATGAGATATGTGGTGTGGGACAGTTTAAAGGGAAGCATACAAGCCATAAAGACATGCATGATCATGGATATAACTGTGAGAGTGTGAATAGATGATAGAAATAGTGAACTGCGCGATCACTGGATTCAAACATCCGACAGTCAGTGGTGCTCGCAATAAAAACCGGGTGAACTCATAAGAGCAAACAGACGCTCTTCTCCAGATTTGAATTTCAATTGGGTCCCCCGCCTGCTTAACAAGAGGAGGACAATATTAATCATAAGAATGTGCTTCAGCACGAAGCTTTAATCATGGACAAAGCGTGAATCAGATTAATTCACCTGAACTAAACGCAACGTATCTTTAATAAATCAAGAGAAGCTGTCAGAAGAAAAAGTAAAAAGCATCAACTTGAGCAGCATCGATTAACAATAATTCTGCTGGTTGTCGTCATTCAGGTCACAGGGGGGGGTCCTGGAATACGGAGCTTTGAGCGGGGACGGAAAGGCTTCCCCTCTAATGAGTTATTTCCTCTGCTTCCCTGCTCGGCTTCCTGATGTGTGCAGATGCTGCTGCGGCAGCGGCCTCCGAGGGACTAAAGTCGGCGACGCTCTTCTGCTCTTCCGACAGTTTGACTCTCTGGAAACACGCTGTGTAATTTTCCCGAAGCCAGTCGAGTCTCCATTTCTTTTCCAACCACTAACTCATTACAGTTGATGCATCAGGACAAAGGAATGCCGGAGCCCGCGAGTCGAGTTCAGAGGAGGAGGAGGAGGAGGCTGACGGAGGGATGGATGGATGGATGGAGGGACGGGGGGGGGATCTAGGGGGGGGGCGGCTGTGGTTTCCATCGAGCTGTCTGGCCCGACCAATGTCTCGTAGGCAGAGACACAACACGTCGCTGCAGTCCCACGTCGGCCTCCGGGGGACCAAACGCCGGAGACGAACGGTGCCGATTGTTCGCTGTGGGAAGAACGCGCGTCGTGGGGGGAAGAGGGACGCCGTGCGTGAGCGGAGGGGCTCAAACAAACACCGGAGACCTCCGGTTGTGTCTCTGTGAAGCTCGCGTTGGCTTTGGTTCCGGTCTCTGGAGACGTCCGGGATCTCGCGTGTCCGTCATTGGGGATGTCGGAGCCCACAGCTCGTGCCTTCGGGAGCTGCAGATGGAGGATCTCCACCCGTTTCTAATCTTCTGCCTTGGGAAAATACAGGTTTGCTGTATTCCAGAGGAACCCACAAAGGAAATGTCAACAGAATCAGTTTTTTTTTTTTTTTTTGCGTGTAATTACAAACCAGTTTGATTTAAACTCTGCTTTCATTTTGGCAGAACCGTTGTGAATCCAGACGGGGTCTCAGAGCTCGCTGGAGCGGCCCGCGTGGGTGGTCCGGCTGCTCCGTCATACAGGACCGACTTGTTCTGCCGGGGCGGCGATGTCATCGCGGCTGCATCTGCACCGAGGCCCGGCACACACATCACACACACACACACACACACACACACACACACAGTTTACGGTCTTCTTCTTCTTAGTCGCAGCAGTGAGCATCAGGCCGCTGACGGCAGGAAGTTTGGGCGAAACGCTGCAGACCTTAACGTGAGCCGACGACTCCGTTATGCTCGGGGCGACCCGGAGTAGAGCGGGTGCACCGTGACCCCTGACCCCTGACTGCTGTACGGCAGCACCCACTGTGCAGGACGGGTTAAATGCACAGAACAATTTCCTGTACGTGTAAAATAATACGTGGCAATTCTTCTTCTTCTTCTTCTTCTTCTTCTTCTTCTTCTTCTTCTTCTTCTTCTTCTTCTTCTCTGTGATGACGGACGGAGGCTTCAACCCAGAAGCCTCTGCTGTGTGTCGTCTCCAAGGCTACAGGCGGAGGGGAAACAAGACGACTAGCGGGAAGAATCCGACGGCGTAGATCGGGCGCTTTGATAGTCAAAGGGGTCGTGATCAGCGAACGTTACCAAGGTCCCATGAACCAGAACAACACAACGTCAAGTCCAGCTGCTCCTTCTCCTCCAAGCTTCATGTTTGGTTGGGTGTGAAAGTACGCCTCCACCAACAAACGTGTCAGTTAACGGCACAGGAAGAAGAAACTCATGTCGGTTTGTGCTGAATAGAATTCATAGTTGGTGGAAAAGAGTCATTTTGAACGATCCGGTTGGCGTTACTCAGCGACCAGTCCGGCCCTTTTGGATCGCACAGCGGCACCGCGGTGATGAATCCACGAAGTGGTCGAGGTTACGGCAAGGCGCTCTCCCAGTTATAGCTCAGCAAACCAGAATAACACGCTGGCCAAACACGACGCCGCGCGCATTCACGGGAAACCCACGGTCAGCATCCTGAATGAGAGCTATGTGCTTCCACGCAGGAAGCAGCGCGGCGTTTTCACTCCCGCTGTGCCGCGGGCGTCTTCGCCACAGGCCGGCTGTTTGCCGAGGCCCGTTTTGGGTCTGTTTGTCTTCCCGTCACCCCTCCCGACCCCCCCGAGTGGTAAAGCTTCAGCACCGTCCTGTTACTGTTCAACCGCTCGGACGACCTGCTGAGCGCGGCTCCATCCTGCCCCCTTCAAAATAAAACTGAGGGTAAAAATGCATTTAGAAAAAGAGAAGGAATCTCTGCTGGATTATTTTTAAGCTTTAACTCACCAGCAAATTTCCGTCGCCGGACCGTAAAACCCTCAATTATGCTCGACTCCGTCCAGACATTTGACGTTTGTTTCAGCGAGTCCACATGCAGGAACTTTATTTGAGCATCTTATGTGCAAAACATGCGCAGGCCTCAGTCCTCTGTCGTGTCTTTTTTTTTTATAGATAGCAACACACAGCCAGTTAGTCTCCAGTAAACAAGCTTTTATTGGGGAATAAAACCTTTTTCCATCAACACCACGCAACCGCCGCGGCACACAGCGGCGTTCAGGAGGTTTACGCAGAAATACCTCCACTCCGGCTCCAGAGGAATTCACCAGAATCAGTCTTCTCTTCTCTGTTTTTTCTCCCCCCTCCACTCGCGCGTCTCGTGGAGCTCTTTCCTCATTGCGTAACCTTCTGAGAAGTGCGTCCCGCACAAAGAGGGTTGGCAGGGAGTCGAGTCGCTGTGGGGGCGAAAAACAAGGCGCGGCGTTCAAATGGCTGCTTAAGGACGCTCTATAAATAGATCACATTTTAGGTGTGTGGAGTTATTTTTGTTAACAATCCACACACACGTTTAAAGTGACTGTTCGCTGGGGTTTGATGCAGAAACAGTTGGAAGTCTTTAAATTGTTTTTTTTTTTTAAACTTCAAATCCCCAAATATTAACGGCAGGCGGCTCGTGGTGACCGGTACCGGCTCTCAATGCCGTGACCTCCTTCCCTGTGTCCTCCGTACGGTATCTCACCAAATGTTCCCCACAAATATCCAACAACACGTGAACAATTTTTCCAAAATAATCTCCCCGCTTCTCAGAAAACAAGTTTAGTTTTAGGGAACCGTTGTGGTTTCAGCTTCGTATCAAAAGTACTGTTTAGGTTTTAGGACCCTGGTTTCAGTTTAAATAATGACTCAAGTCGTGAGGACCGGCCGTCTACTGGGTGACGGTCTGGTGTGTATTTCACCCACTTTTTGTATTTCCTCGTTCACGATTTGATGGTTCGATGAACCAAGATGAACCAACTTTTCCTTGTTTTTTTTTTTTTTCCCAATAATCTGCATTAACTGAAATACAGATGTGAAGCGGCGCTGCGAGGGAACATCTGCCAGTGAGCCAGTGCCACACGGTGGATCCAACTCTTCATCACTGAGCGACGCAGCAGCTTCTCACTGCAGCGTGAGGACCAGCGGTCGGCGGTCGCCGCCCCCACCGCGCCCAACGGGTCAGCAGGCCGCCGACACAAGCGGGTGCTTCTCTTTGTCGCCACTGAATTGCTCCTCAGGCGTCGTTGGGGAGGATCTGCAATATGAGTCACGCAGAGAATCACGTCATTTATTATCAAAAGGAGAAATGTTGTCTCCTTCTTCCTCCTGTTTGTTTCCTCAACTGTCTCCTCGTCCCTCCTTCCTCCTGCCTCCTGCCTCCTGCCTCCTGCCTCTCGCTGCCTTCTCTCCCTTTGTCCCCCCCTCCCCTCCAACGTTCTCCTCCTCCCATCTTCCTTCGCTCGCTGGCGGCCCGGCGGTGGACGGGCTCGGCTGGCGTAATAAAAATAAAATAAAATAAAACGCAGGGGTGGAAAATCTATTAACGGGACTTATTCACATCCAATGTGGCAAATGTTTCTTTTGGGATCTCTGAATAACGACATTATAACGCAGGAAGAAAACAGCAGCAGAAGACTCAGTCTAACCAGCGGGGAGCCGGAGGAGGCGCGTTGCTGTCTGAGCTCCTCCACAGATTGAAGGAGTCTGCTGTGTCAAAATAGCTTTTCCTTCATGCCTTGCCCGCCAAAATAAAATAGCTTTAAGTATACTCATTATGTGTGTGGTGGTAGTTTTTCTTAGCGTTGCCGTTGCGGAATAAAATGACTCACTGTTCAAATTACAGGTTTGCTCAGGACGAGGCACCATGTTAATGCTCTGGAGTCAAAGTGTATTTGTACCTATGAATTACAAAATAAAGCAGATTGAATCTCAAACTGTTACAGTACTACTCACAATGAAATTGCAATTAAGCATAAATAATTGCAATTGATTAATAACATGTTAGTGTTAGTATGCATGAGGCTGTCAAACAGTGAAATAATGTTTTGACCTGATTATGACGTTAAGATGAGTCATTCGGATCCTGTATTATCTTTGAGCATCGCTGTTTCTCGGCTGGTCTTTTTTGTGTTGTTGTTGTTGTTGTTGTTGTCTTCTGGTAAGTGGCTCAATGGTTACTGGCTGAACATTTTTTTTATGTGATTTATTTATTTTTTAATTGCACGTATATGTGTGACCATTGTGCGTGTTGCATGGAGCCCGTCTGCCCGGCGGAGGCGCTGACGGGGTTTTAATTGGTCTCGCTCGGCGTGTTTTAATCGCCCCAACGCCACTCCAACGATTTCACAACCGTAACCGTAACCTGTTTTAATATAAATAAATTGCGGTTTGTTGTGCAGCCGGAGCCTTCTGGTCCCAACGAGCATCCGGTCTCGTCCCCCCTCACCTCTGGACTCTGGAGTGAAAACCAAAGACCCGCCTCCCACGACAGGAAGCCGTCGGGTAAAAAATGTCCTGCTTATTTACAACACGGAAGCTCGGTGACCACCAGGCAGAAACCGGGACACGTTTCTGTGATCAAATCTTCCCGGCGGGTGACAATGAGTGGAAGCCCTCCAGCGAGCCGACCCGGCACGCTCGCCCCGTTTGCCAAAGAGCCATTGTCTTATTGTTGCTTTACACAATGTGACTTGTTAAACCTGCAAATGAACTCGCATTGTAACAACGGCATCTGGTCCCGGTTCACTTTCTTCGGGATCGCCTCCGTAATGGGGACGAATGAGCCCGTCGCCGAGGAGCTTGAGGTGTGTCTGCAGAGGAGGTTCAATCGGATCTTTTTACATTCCGGTTGTCGCGTCACACTTTGCAATCGACGCGTCTCCCGTCACGTTTTGCACTGGGCAGAAAGCGCCGCTCGCATCTGGAAAAGGACGGACGGACGGGAGGATCAACCCGCCGCCGCCCATTTGAGAAGAAGCGAGATGATCTCGGCTGCAGCGCAGTCGCCACGTCGGTGTTCACGCCACCTCTCCAGGTCAGACAGCGCAGAGCGGATCCCGTCACGTCTCACGCAGCTGTCTGCGTAAACTCCGCCGCCGCCGAGCCCCTTCAGGTAACCCTGGGGAGGGATTTGGCGCTCGTCATCGCTCAGGTATGTGCCCAGGTTGTCGGAACAGGTTTGTGCGCCGCGCCCGGCTCGGGCGTGCGCGCGCGGCCTGCGGGAGATTAATGAGCTGTCAGCGGGCAGGGGAGGCTTCAAGAGACGGCCGTCCTCCGGTCGGAGGACGTGATCGCTGCTCATCACTCACGCCGGAAGAGTTACGGCCTCCGCAGGGCTGCGCCCTCTTACAATAGTGCTTCTCATCATTTATGATTACGCGTGACACAACTTGGCTAATGGTTTCTGTTTGGTTTACTGGATCCTCTCACCGAGTACAAGTGTTTATTCACCACATGCATGGAAATGGTGTCAAAGATGCACCGAGATGGACGAATGGGTCAAACGCAGGAACCGTTACTGTGGAAACTGATGTCATTTTGAGTAACAACCAACCATCCATCCATCCATTGTCAAACCGCTTATCCTGCACACAGGGTCGCGGGGGGGCTGGAGTCCATCCCAGCCAACTTCGGGCGATAGACAGGGTACATCCTGGATTGGTCGCCAGCCAATCGCAGGGCTACACAGAGACACACAACCACTCACACTCACATTCACACATCTACGGGCAATTTAAAGTCCCCAATTAACCTGATCCCCAGAACATGTCTTTGGACTGTGGGAGGAAGCCGGAGAACCCGGAGAGAACCCACGCAGACACGGGGAGAACATGCAGACTCCACACAGAAAGGCCACTGGGCGGAATCGAACCCAGGACCTTCTTGCTGTGAGGCGACAGTGCTGACCACCACGCCACCGTGCCGCCCTAACAACCAACCAAGTTGTTTTATTTTCCTAAAATTAGTGCTTTTCACACGGGACGGGAAAGGAAAAGCCGGTTTGTCGAAGCCTCAGCCAACGTTCTGGGAGACGTTAATGACTCTAGAACGTCACAACTGCGTGACATGATCACGCCTCCAGCGCGCACTGCGACGTGCTGTACGTTACCGGGTTCCTCGCTGATCCGTACTGTATCCCCCCCACAGACACGACGCCGGCTGCTCACCGGGAGCATCAAGTCATCCGTCTTTGAAAAAGTGGCCCGAGTTGCGACTGAGAAATTGTGCGTCCGGCTTCCAGCAGGTGCATTTTGTCGAGCGCGGGTCGATGAATGTTTCATTCACCAGAGGTCGGTCCGTGGCTCTTCTAGGTGGAGCTGAGGCCGTTCAAAGGAGGCTTTTATCTTTTCATGTTTTTCCTTTTCGCGGCAGCGTGTTTCCCGTTTATTTTTCGGGAGCAAAGAGAGCTTTGAACGTGGGTTCCAACGCGGATTCGTTCTCTGAGCGACTGAAATGTGAAGTGATAAACAACGTTTAAAAACCTTGGGTTCAAAGTCTGAGTTTCTCCCTCGTCGGTCTTCCTGTGTGTCTCTGCATCTTCTTTCTGCCGCGTCTGATTCCTCCTCTTCTCACAGCACAGTACCGTCACCCTGCAGCACCGCTCACCACTGCAGCTTCCTCCCAAAGAAGCATCGCACTGGCAGCAGACTTCATGCGGCGATGCATTTAGCTCACTGGGACCTTTCATGTGGTGCAAGCTTCCCTGGATGGATTTACCAATCAGACTTTTATCAATTCAATATCAGAAAACTCGACATCTAAAGGAACGTCGGTTTATTCCTTTAACTGTGAGCAAAGTTGAGGATCAGGAGTTCGTAAAACGGTGAAACCAAATGGGGTTTTCACTGTGAGTCAGGCGATTCAGAGATACGGTAACCGCGGCAACCGGCGTTACAGTACGTGCTGCCAATCACCAATCAGCAGCAGTTCCCCTGTAAGTGGACGATAGACGTGCAGGACCCTTGAATGCGTCATGACACGGAGAAGCACTCTCATTTTCTCATTCCGCCCCCGCCGTGACCTGGCGGCGGTTCTTTTAACACCAGGTCTTCAGTTTCAACACCTACCGCTGATATTGGCTGCCAGCACCGTCCTGCATTATTAACTCTGTGGTCTGAGGCCGCGGGGGCCGAGCGGGGGGCCCCCTCGGCTGCTGGAGTCATGTGCAAACATCGGCTCCTCTAATTGAGGATGGCAACGAAAGTGCAGAGCAATTAGACGGCGCGAGGGTCCGGGACGCCTCCCGGCAGGCCAAGACGAAGCTGCTGAGCTCCGGCAAGGCGCTCCGCTTCGCGCCCGTATATATGCTTCACAAACCAAGCAATTAAATGGGATGAACTGATGAACACGTTTCCCACAGTAAATGGTTTTGAAGAGCATGAAGTGTGTCACGTTCATGAGCATCGTGGTCGGCCGATAACAACAAGATGAACCCAATCGACCGCTGCCGTGCATGTGCACGTAACGCTCCCTGAGAAATGGTCGTCGCCGGCGTGTGTGGCTGGCACGGTGTTGTCTGGGTGTGTGCGTTGCTGCAGGTTCATTCTCCTTAACTTGTCTGGGGTTTTAAAAAAAGAAACGGCTCCTGCAGAAGGACTTGGCGCCGCGTCGCTCTCCGGCGCGACGGGCTCGGACTTGCAAAATATGTAATTACCTTCGTCGACTCTCAGAACAACAGGCCGTGTGTTTTTGGTTCCATGTGCGTCTGCGTCTAAGACTCTCAGATCTAATTAGATGCCTCTGATGTGTGAGGGATCGGATCACCTGACGGTGACCTTTTGGCCTTTAGTCGTGCTTCTGTTTGCATTCGGACCTGTTGAATTAAACTCAGATACAGTTGTGGTAATTAAAACAACCAAATATAAGACTTGCAAACATTTAGAAAAACTCTTTAAAATGTGAAGACCACGCAAAACCTTAATTATATAATAACGGTCTTTAAAGTTCTGGATCAAGTAAACATCAGTGGAGCAACTGAATGTGTAGCTTTATGTTTTTGTTTAAGTCAAACTCACTAAAACAGCCAAATCATTTCCATGAGGACAAATAGAGCTTCATATCAACGATATATAGTACAATTTAAGTGCTACAATATACTCACATAAGTATAAGAAAGGAATCATATTTTCTCAAACACTTAAATTTGTTGACATTTTTGACAACCTTGAGGGTGATTTCTTGCAGATACGTTGTAGTATTTATATATATATATATATAAATGTCAGTGGTCATATATAGAACCATGTGCACAATTATAAAAAGGAGCTGTGGTTTACTCGCCGAGTATGTTTAAGTCTGTGGAGCAAAAACCAGAAAGCAATCAGTTCTTATGTAAGTGGCCCCAGAGGGCAGAGAGTCCCCAGGAGCCCATCCGAGGCCGCCGCGCTCCGTTAATCATTTCTCACTGCTGATAAGTCGCACCTTACGCCAGCAGCATGATTGAGATCCGTGGTTATTCCACGCCGTCCCTCCGCCTCGAAGGCGTGGCTGCACAACGAGCTGCTTCTTCTTCTTCTTCTTCTTCTTCTTCTCCCACGCGTTGCCGCGATTCTTCCCCGCTCGGCGTTTCCGGCACACCTTGAGTGCTGGGCGGCGAGGCGGCGCGGGTCCGGGTGTCCACACGCTTCAGAGCCACGAGGCTGCAGGTGCCTCGACTGACACGCGGCTACAGGTACAGCTGCAGAAGAAGAAGAGGCCGGTTAAACAAACACTGTCTATTAGTCCAAACGTGAGCCCGTCCCGCTGCGTGGCTCCCAGCCAACATCTGGATCAAGTTCTTAATGTTTGGTGTTGCTCGAAGCCGACTGGGCGCAGCCGTGCATCCTAAACTGTGTCCGTGCATGAGTTCACTCGTGTGCAAAGGAAACAGAACACTGATGAGTGACCTCTGACAGCGATGTGGAGCTCTTTGTATCTCTGTTTCTTATATAAATCGGTGAGTTTATCGGTTTGGTGTTTTGAACCATTAACTGCAAACAAAATTAATCCTTACAACATTTTTACAACATGCATGAATTAATTTCAGCTCTGCTGCTTGTTTAAATAAGCGGAATGTGGAAATGAAAACATCGTGACATTAAATACAGGAGATGATAAACGACGTGAACCTCAGCAGCTCGAGACAAACTGCCAATTTCCCAAAAAGCACGCAAAGCGTTTCTGCACAGATTCCACAGGAAGTGAAACATTTTGGGGAAATGCGTGAATGTGGACGTTACATTGAAAATATCAATCAATTGGAGTTGGCACAGTTTGGAATTGGGAGCAGCTCCCAGGTGTAAATTGAGTGGATGAATATGAAGCCCCCCCCCCGCCTGCCTGGATGAGCGATGGCTAAATGAAGCCACAGCAGGTTAAAGACGGAGTCACGAACAGCAGCAGTCGATCGGTTCAGTAAATCCGCCAGGATTGAAATATAATACGCGAGGGCTTTGGGGAGGGGGGCGACTGACTCCAACACCCCTTCCTCAAAGATCCTTTTTGTCTTGAGCGTTGGGCGGCGGACGGAGCGGCGTTAACAGGCTTCCAGCGCTTAACGCGGCAGTTGTGAAAACACGCGCCCCCCTCCCCCCCCCTCCTCCGCCCCCCGGGGGCCACGGCCCTCGCTCCGCTTTTCTGTTTCCAACAGAAGCCCAGAAGGTTCTGGCTGAGGCCCGAAGGGCTCGCACAGGGGGGGGGGGCAGCGTTCAGGGCGAGAGCGAAGAGGGGGCTTAGAACTGAGGAAGATTATTGTTTGAGGCTTTAATCGTGAGGCGAAGCTCGGCACATTTTAAGGGGGGGGGGGGAATCTGGAGTCGAGTAATACCGAGTCCGTCTGGAGCGAGGAAGTCAAAACAAGCTGCCGTGAGGACAGAAGGTCCGAGGACAACGATGCAACGACCAGCAGCCCGACGCTCGTTCAATGTCTGTTCCTTTATGACTGATTATTCTGGAAAGATACAATGTATACAACAATTATCAACTTAAATCTTCAGTACAGTAAGATTGTAAAAAGAAAGCATCCTCAGTAGCTGCTGAAGCCACTCCCCCAAATTCCTCTGGCGGCGCGGTGAGTCGTGGTCACAGCTACGCTAGCAGCTACGCTAGCAGCTAGCTCACCACGGTCCAGCAACGACAGCTCCCGGATTCATTTTTCTTGTGAGGATATAACTTAAATTTAAACAAAAACACCAACGCCGCCTTTAGAAAACCCCTTTTTCAAAGTGTCGTCTGTCATCAAATGAGCCAGAATGTGGGATTGTCTTGGTAGCGGCGGCTTGTGCTCTCGATGTGCCTTTTCAATTATTTTACAGGCGCGCGTGAGCGAGGTTTCCAACCCGCTCCTGTTGGTGTCACCAGCTGTTTGTAACAGTTGACAGAACAAACGGAGGCTTTTACGTTGACTCGTCTTCTGTCTGTAAAGCGCTGGATGCTGAAGTGCTCCCAGCGCTCTTTCTATTACCGGGTTTATTTGCGGTCTTCTATTTTGGATGCGACCTATTTAAGAGGGCGGTGTGTGTTTATGCAGCCCTCTCGGGTTACTGCGCCGCGGTAATTACGCTCCCTGCTTTTAGCTGTCATAACACTCGCTGTTTGGGCTCGCGGAGGACGGCCTGGGGGGTGTCACGCCGGGCGAAAACCGCTCCCCGGGCATCGCAACCCGTGTTTAACTGCAGGGTCCGGCATGAAGGTCCACTCGTCCCTCAACATGAATATATAAATATATACAGAGACAGAGAGACTTTCAACCTGGACTCAAAGAATGCGTCTGAACGCTGTTCTTCTCTCTTTCCGAGCAGCGGACACAGAAGCAGATGAGGACCGAAGTGGAGGACAGCCGGAGGACGGCCGGTCCTCCTTCCTGCGCCCAGAACCATCGAGCGAGCTCCTCCGAGGTGTAGTTAGCTCATCCAGCCGTGTGCATGATGGATGATCCCAGGGACGCGCCGGTTCTGACCCAGCTTGGAATCAGCAGCAGTGTCTCCCCCGCGTTCAAATCAGATCTTTAAATAAACCACAGCCACGTAAACGCAGCGAGCGTCATTCACATAAAAAAACAGTCGTCCTTTGCTAAAAAGACAAGCGGCTTCAGACCGTTTTCACTCCTTCTGAACACAGAGACGTTGGACAATTCTTATACTAAGACTACGACGATAACGCCTCGAGGGAGGACGTCAGGTTGCGTGCTGTAAAGACATTTGGGTCAAACAAGGACACGCGTGTTTGTGGCGTGTGGAAGCTTCATCTCGCCACCTTGAAGGTGTTTGATGCAGGAACCCTGGGGAGTTAGAAGGTACGAGCGCAGCACAGTGTTTGGTGATGTCGTTGCGGCGCATCCCGCAAAACCCGCGGCATTGTTGTTGACAGTCGGCGACGAGGAAGTCCGGGGCACTGAGGCTCTGCTGCAGCTCCTCGCTCGCACTCGGTCCGTTGTTCTTCCTCTAAGTGAATTAAAGCACGATATCCACCGCATTCAGGGCGCCGCCGCTGCTGTTTCCAAGGTAACCACCAACTGGCATCCCGGTGAACCTCATCATCACAAAGCAACATAAACATCCTTACATGGTTTTTTTATTTCCAATTAATGTTACCCGCCGCCGTTAATCACACCGTTACCCCCCCCCCCGGGACCTCTGGGGGTCTGAGGAGTGGATTCACCATCACCATTGCTTTAACGGGACACTTTTTATAATCAACTCCTGCAGCTCGCTAATCATTTTAATGCTCTGTTTTGCTGCTTTATTGTCTCGACAATCATTCCGAAGATGCGTTCTTTTATCTGTGGACCGATCACGCGCCGGAGGAGCGTCCCTCCCCCCGAAGGCAGGAACACAAAGCGCACAAGAATCTGAAGGTCTGAGCGCTGAGCTGCTACCCGACGCCACGTAGCGCTGCACATCTCGCTCCTTCGCCCCTTCACTGTCTCACTCTTTACCCGGCGTCGCTCGGCGTGGCCGCGCTGACGCAGACGGATTTGCGTGGCAGACAGTTGGAGGCCCGAGGACGGGAGGAGATTGCTTCACGAGGCGTCCGGGCCGCGCTGGATGTCTGGAGGGTGATTTGCCAAAAATCTGTCAAAGAAAAAGTTCTGCAGTGGTGATTGAGCAAGTCTCGCCGTGAGCGTTGGCGTAATTTACTGAGAAGACTATTATTTCAGTTCTATGTACCTTTGCCTCAAATAGCAATGTTTTTTTCTGGAAATGTCATTCAGGATTAATTGGCGTTAATGGATTAATATTTGATTTAAAAGTAGTAACCATGCAAACAGTATCGACAAATAAGCTTCTTTCTGCAGCTTTATTCCCTTTACACAGTAGCAGCTAAAACATTTATTCTGAACCTCAACTTAAAGAAATCTTCTTTAATCTAAACTACATAACATGTTTTAATATAAAACTAAAGCCATTTGCAACTGCCAGAGGCTTAATGTTGAATCCGGTTTGTTATAAAAAAACAAGTTGCATCATAACAGGCAGCTACCGTGTAGCAGCAAGTCCGCATCTATAAATCAGTTCTTTTGTTTCCTGACAGAAGGAACACTTCTCAGCATAAACGCTCCGCTCGGTAGCCGCGGTATTTGTTCTAAATGTTTGTTGGTGCATTGATGTTTTATTGGTGTTTATAAGAAGCGGTGCTCCGTAGTTAAACACCCGCTGTGTGCCAGGTACCACTGACTGTGTGCTAGTTAGCTTAGCAACAACTGCCAAGCCGTTTATTGTCCGTTTGTCATCAGACGTCGGGTAATAAAGTGGCGCTGGCCTGGCGGCTAACTTAGGTGGCTCGTGATTGGCCCGGGAGGGTGTGTGGGCGGGGCCTCGGTGCTGTGGCTCCCGGCGCACACGATCACAAACTGTCAGACTCTCCACATCTGCAGAAGTTCAGGAGGCTGCCAACGCAGTGACGTAAGCGTCACTTACCTTTTATTTTAATTAATATACTTATTCTCCATCAGAAACTCCCACGTTCCGTTAAAAAGAAGATTGTCCAGGTAGACTCATTGTTTACATGTACGTGTGTGAGATAAACTTCACTTCACATCACCTCCCGCCACTGTACGTTTGATTGACATGTGAATAGAGCTCAAAAACACCACGGAGATTATCTCCTAGCAACACGGATGCAAACAAAACAAAACAGGAATAACACTGTGTAGCTGTGGTGTCATCAATACGACTACATGCGCGTGTATTCGCACATCACACAATGCGCCAGGAGCCACGATGAAAGCGCTTTATTTTCGCTGGAATTTGGAAACATATTATTCATTTTCACTGCAGCATCTTTGGACGAAAAGCTTCAGACTGTTCTGATCTCGGCTGGAATCTCTAAAGTGAAACTGGTAGTCCGGTGCGGCACGCACTTTCCCACAAGTTCCCCATAAAGTGGAGAATGTGCCTAATCCCGTGCAGAGTTATGACATATGGTCGGTGGCTTAAGCGATCTGGGGCCATCTTAAGATTGAGCTGGAATGCTATTCCCGAAGGGGAGAGCGAAGGTAAATAAAGGAGACAGTGCTCGGCAGATATGGGAAAATATTGACACCACTGACCTCCGTGCTTAACTGATTAAAGGCGGTAACATCTCGCAGCTGTCTACTCAACAACTTTTAAAAAAGGGAAACCACATAGGACCCCTAAAAGTGTGTTTCTTACGCCAATGATGCTCACATGATACACACACAACTGACATCCTGTGTTTTGGTAGGATGGACGGAATAAAAGGGCAGAAGAGAGAAGAAGAAGGATTTTAAATGTAAAAACAATAAAGCCGCTGTGAAGGATTTAGTGTCATTTAATGAAAACTCTACAAAGCGCGATGAATATCAGAGGCGGGGGAGTGATTCTAAAAGATACATTTGTGAGAAACACTGAGCAATCGTTGCTTCGTTTTCCGCGGTTGAATCGTCCTCATTTCGCTGTGTTCAGATACGGTTGGTGAAAACAGCCGCGCTAAAGTTAAACTGCAACCATGTGTCTACACGCATATGGGCATATGTGATGCTTTTACTCGCTGCAAACTGTCATTGGTGGGGATTCATTCAGACAGAAGTGGATTCGATTCGACGCATTTGAGCCGCTGTCGCTTTGCATCGAAGCTCGTCACGTGAAAAGCCTCACACGATTCCCGGCTACGGCTCCTCGTGGCTTGGTTTCCGTCTGCAGACAGCAACTAGCGCACACGGCACCTGCAGGGCAGCTCTCTTCAGATGGACCCGCCTGCCCTGTGATCCATATCATTCCCCCCATAACGGGTTTTCAGACAGACTGATGAATGTGCCAAGCGCTCTCACCGAAAAAACAACCCCCCCCCCCCCCGGCTCAATGGGCTGCTCGCTCGACCCTCGCAGCGCCACATGATTACTGAGCTCCTTTACCGATCAATACGGATCAATGCAGTGTGCTGCTCTTGGCTGGAGGAGAGGGAGGGGAGGACGAAGGACACTCACAGAGGAGCAACGTGGATTAAAACACGTGGAAATGAAATAAGTGACATAATTACTTCACTGCACTCAGAGGATCGTTGAGAAGTTTTGATTAAGCTTCTTTCATTCAGGAATGTTTTGCAAGAAATGTCTTGCTGCTGCAACAGGCTACCTTCACATGATGTGATGCCCGTTTCTTCTTGGGGGGGGGTTTAGAGCTTGAATGGTGCCGTTTGGTGTCTGCGTCACTAACCATTAAGCACAAAGGGCCTCCGTGGCACTCGAGCAGAGCTTGACTCGGAGTTTCGTCACCTGAATGAAGACACACGACAAACTGGCACTCAAACCGCCTGCAGCGTTGCCGCCTTCAACTCGCGGCAGACGAGGCGACACACAAAGGGCCGTCGGGGGACATTCGGGGGTTTGCACAGTCTCGCCTCTGAAAGAGACGTCTCCGTTTGACAGCTCGTGACAGGTCTCGTCCCTCCCCCGGTCTACGCGCTCAGGTCTCACTCGCCTGCACACAGCGTTACACTCAGCGTATGGAGCCAGGAGCGCGTGCACACGCGTGCACGCCTGCACACACACGCGCTCCATCTCTCTCGCACACACACACACACACACACACACACGAACTAGCAAGGTGGGAGGAGTCAGCGGTAAAAGACTTGTAATTTGTGTTTTGCCAACAAAGGCCGGCTAATCCTGCAGGGGGGCTTTGTCGCAGCTGCTATTGTGTGTTTGTGTGGTGTGTGTGTGTGTGTGTGCGAGTGGGGGAGAGGCAGAAAGAGAGAGGAGGTGTGAGAGGGGAGGGGGGGAGGGATGGGTGAGGAATGAAAATGTGAGGGAGAGAGAAAAGTGAGTCTTCTTTTTATTTATTTCAAATCTGTGTGAGAGTGTGCGTCGCTCTTTGTCCCAGCTGTGTGTGCACATCTGCGGGGGGGGGGGGGGGGGGGGGGGGGGAGTGGGAGTGTGTATTCGTCGCCTCCCCCTCCTGCGGTTTTCTGCATGACAGAGCTCATTTTAGGCCCCGCCTCCTTCTCTCCCCATGGCCGCTGCTCCCCGGGCCGGGCTGAGACCTCTGCTCCTCCGGCGGCCCATGGAGCCGAAGGGTCGCGGGGGGTCGCTGGGGGTCACGGGAGGGAGGGAGGGAGGGAGGGAGAGAGGGGAGGGCCGCAACGCTTGTTGGAGTAATTTAGCTTAAGACGGAGATGATCCCTCTGATATCTGCCAGGGGGCCTCGGCTGAGTGGAATAAAATTCCCCAAAGTTTAACAGGTGAAAAGATACGAAGTTAATAGTTGTGAGGGGGAGAGCCCCCCCCCCCCCCCTCGCCCCCCCCCAAACCCCCCTCCATTGCTGTCCCTTTCACACATTAAAAGAAACCACTGAATCAAACTCACCTCCCAGTAACCGGCGAGGGAACCCGCCGGGAGGCTAATCAGAATTAGGCAAATCATCAGCGAGTTCAAGTGTCTTCAAAGGAGGGGGGAGACAGGGGGGGGGGGGGATCATTTTTGTAGGAATTTGCTGACGGGGCCCCGGTGTTCGATCGGCGAGGGGGGACGCTGATGGTGCGCTGATGGCGTGTGACGGAGCACGCAGGTGCCGCTGTGGTCACGTGCGAGCAAACAGGATTTCTAGACGGCGTTCACAGGTCGCCGAAGGTCGAGGTTCATCGCTGATCGAGCAGCGTGAGAATCAATCGGCTGCTCAACGTCCTCCAGCTGGGAGAAAAACATCGCTGTGTGCAAATAAGGACAGCAGACAAATGTGTCTTTGTGGGGAGCAGGTTGGAAAACAAATGTACTCGTCTCCACCCGAAACATCGTCTCAGGTGGTCCCGTGCCTTCACTGAATGATGATCTGACGGCGCTTCAGTGGTTCCTGTTGGAGGAGCAGATACAGTGAACACATTTACTTCATTTACCAGGTGGAGATTTTTGCACCTGAAGCTTATTTTCACCTGTACACCGGTTAAAGGCACCACAGCGGCGCATTCAGAGACGCAGATTAAAGAATTGGCCCCGGAGCAGCTGGTCGAGGACGTAGCGACGGCGAGCAGCCGAGGTTTGACGTGAGCTTTGATTGGCAGGCAGCGAATCGCGTTCAGCCGGAAGCCGCACCGCGGGGGGCCTCCTTCACCCGGGCTTCAGGGACCGGTCTGACCGGCCGCGTGAGTCTCTCTCCTCCCACGCTGCAGCCCGTGAGGGCGGAGGAGGGGGGGGAGGGGGTGAGGGCGCCGCCACAGTCATTAAAACAGGCTCATGCAGACAGAAGGAGAAGCAACACGTTCCTCCAGTCGGGTTCTCTGGTGTGTCAACGTGAGACGACTCGACACAACCGGTGTCCTTTTCATTTAAAGCCCGAGGCCGCGCGCACACACGCACACACACACACACACACACTCTCCTGCTCTCCCCTCTTGGCTGCATCTCTCTTTCAAGCCTTTTGATGTTGGTAAGAAACTGAAGGAGTAGTTATGAAAAAAACAGCAGGCTAAAAATAGCTTGTGGAAGAGACGGCAGGAAATCGCCTTTCATCTGTCTTTGCAGCAAGAAGTTCTGTCGGTTCTGTCTCCTCTGCAGCGCGCGGAGGGAAGTCCAGGGGTACAAACATGCGCGGCAAATCGCTATCGGTGAAGGCTCAACAAACAGGGGGGAGGTCAGAGGTCGCGTCGCTGACCCCTCTCGCACTCTTTAAACAGGACGTTTCTCCTTCTCTCCTGCTGTGTCAGAAAGTTCCCCCGATGGTCTGTTCAGATCACACCATCACAAAGATGTTGTCATCTTGGAGCTTGATGACACTTTTCGAGTGTGCGTGCAGCTCAAATAGCTGATCAGGGATCAATATCGACGTGATGGTCAACGTCTACAGGACGCGGATGAAAACATGGAAGGTAAGAAAGAAGCAATGGGGAAGAATAAAAGGAGGGCGGTGCAGCGGATCGAGGAGGGGAAGAAGGGAACTAGTGAATAATACAAAAATAATGATTCTAGTTCAACGGAGCTTCGTCTCGTTTTCACGCCGCCGGGCCGGAAGCTCTCGCGGCCCCTCGCTCTTCTTCTCTGCTGCGACAACGCGGCCTCCTGTTCAACCACGACGTCGCTCCGCCCCCAGGACGGTGAGATGACGCCGCTTCCTGCGATCACACGGAAGCGCTTTTAGAGACGGTGTTGCCTCTTTCATCGGCGTTTTTTTCTGCCTCCCGCTCACGAGGAGCTGCTGCCTCTCGTTTGAGTTTTAAATATGAAAGGATTTGTGCGGCGTGGTGCTCCGGTTGTTCATCCCGTGTAAACAGCAGCTTTTCCCCGGCGTGGGGGGGGCGGGAGGCGGGGGGGGGGTGTTGCCTTTTTCACTCTCCAACAGTTGTTTTTTCGGGTGTGTGAGTGCAAATGCAAACACAGCTGAGGGCTTGTTTTGTTTGCTGTGTTGACTTTCACTTTTACACCTCAGCTCACAGTCACAGCAGAGAGGAGGAGGAGGAGGAGGAAGAGGTGGAGGAGGAGGAGGAGGTGCAGAGCGGCCGCCGTGTGCCAAGGCCCCGACGTACAGATCAAGACGTCACAGCTTCTGTGCCAAAGCTTTGAAGAGCTCACAAGCTTCTTCTAAACTCCTCAGATGGTGCAGAGATGTTCCCAGTCGCTTTGTCCCTCCAGAATAATTGCTGTTCAGACGGATCCTTCACTCTCAATATGAGCCTCTCACGTCGGGAAGGAGCCTGACATTCAATCAATGACATTAATGACAGAATGCAGAGATCCAAGTGAAGTTTTAGTGAAGATTGTGAAAATAATAATAATGAATTTTATTCATAACGTCTCTTCTAATCCAAACATCTCAGTCACAAGGTCAGGGTCCCGCTGGCCGCAGGAGACGACCTCTGAGCCCCGAGATCCACTTCAGCCCCTCAGATGTTGTTCTCAGAGTCGAGCTGTCAAACTGTTCCTCACAGCAGGGGGGGTTGAAGGGGGGGGGGGGGGGTGACAGGGTGTAATGGCGACGACTTTTTCAACAAACTGTGCAGACAATCTCGCCCGTTCGCCTCCTCCAGAAAGCGGCTGCTGGAGCGCCGGTGACAGCTGAAGGTGGGTGGAGTGGTTCTTCACACCTTTCTGTTCAGTGGCCCCCGAGAATATGAAAGCAACCCCCCCCCCCCCCCCCGATAACAAGGATTCTGGACGCTTCAACGGACTCAAACTCATCCAACAGGCTCTTGTTGTTGTTTAATGTTTAACTGGGTTTTTAAATGAAAAGGCCTCACCTTTCATCTCCTGCTGATCTGTTCCCTGGGGGCTGGAGGAGGAGGAGGAGGAGGGGGGGGGCAGGAATGTGTGTGTGTGTTCATTAGAAGGAGGGGGGGGGGGGTAAGAGGAGTTTTGTTTTTTCTACTAACATGAGCGGTCTTGGAGAACCGGAGTGTGTGATTGTCTGTGTGTGTGTGTGTGTGTGTGTGAGGTCATCTGGTCAGTCTGCCCATCAGTCCTCTAGATGATGAATGAGCATTCTCACCATCTGTATGACCTCCGTATCTGAACCCCCCCCCCCCCCCCCCTCCCCCGACGCTTCTCACGGAGCCCAAAAGGTCGCGGATCACCGGCCGCTCTCCTCTTCTTCAGCGACTTTAATGAGCTGCTTGTTTTCTCCCGTCGGACTTTTCCCATGAGCACCGAGGCGTCGTCACGTGGACGCCGTGTTTCCGTCAGCGTGCACCAGGAGGATTCAGCACATTTCTCAGCTCTCCAGCTGATCGGTTGTCTTATTAAACGGGTGTTGTGGAATTCGTTTAGTTCTGCTTGAGCGAAAACAACAAACACGACGAGATCCAAGGCTCAGTTTTTATAGTTAGAAGCTTATTTATATTATCATCCAATATTGAACCATGAATCAGTAGGTAAACATGTTTTAATTGTAAGTTTAATTAGACTAAAGCTGAAGATGAAAAGGGACAAAGGTCAGAAAGGAGGAAACTTAAATGATTAGAAGTCACATCATTTTACACCTGGCTAATATATACAAGGATTTTATTCATATTTTTGTATGATTTCCCCCGGAAGGAAATAAGAACATCTCAGATTTGCGATTCATTTTAAAATTCTGTGAAACACTGAATAATTTTGACCTTTTAAATTGAAATTGAATTCAAATGAAACAGTCTGAGAGGAGAAAATCATTTTTTTTAACTTTTTTATACTCTACAAAAGGTCTTTGAGAACATCCATCACAACCTCCGGGAACCAATTTTAGCAGGTTTGTCTAAAATCCCAAAGTATTGTATTTGCAATGACATTGCAATTGTATATTTTTATATTTTATAATATTATATATTATAATATATTAATATAATATATATATTATAATATTAATATTATAATTTTATAATATATTGTATTTGCAATGACCGCTTCACGCCGCCATAAAGTCGCCTTCTCAAAACACGTCACCTCGTCCTGACAGCAGTAAGCAGCCCAAGGCCCAATAAATGGGGGCTGACGGTGATTTACTGTCAGCTCGGCACGCTCCGCCTGGTCACATGGCGGGTCGCAGTCGTCCAATGACTGAAGGGAAATCAAGCGAGGACCAAAGGACGTAAATCACACTTGTTTTCATAAAATTATAACCAGAAAAATCATTTCACAGGGAGATTTTTACATTTGTTTTTATGTAGAACATCTGGATATAAAACACTTTCGTCTCACAGAATCACAAAACAGAAATAAAGTTGTAGTCAGTTTATTTGAGTTGTTTAAGAATAACCAGAGGTATGAAGATGATTTCTAATCCCCATGTGGGTAATCATTCCTTAATGGAGCAGCTCCATGTGATAATCTTCTCTCCCCTTCAAAATTAAAGCCTGTGCAGCTGCGTGGCATGAATCATTTTCATGTTTGGTGTTTGTCTTTTCATTATTTTGTATATTATTTCAAAAGAACACTGCTGACAAACTGTTTAAAACTAAACACGTTGATGAAATTGTGAGAGGATTAAGATAATCATGTTTACCAAAAATATAATGTTAGAAGAAATGAACAGATGTGTCTTTCTTCATTATCGCTTATTTAAAGAGGACGAAACTAAACTCAAAATCATGAAGAAATAAGCAGCTGTTATGTGGCACAGTTAACGTCACTACGTGTTCTCTCGCATCTTTCTCATCCACGGTGTCATTGCATCACCGGCTCGTCGCTCAACGCTTTATTTTGAAGGTGCAGGCCGGAAGTCCTCCTGTCTCCAGCCGGTGTCCCTTGACGGCAGCAGCCGGCGCAGCTGCTACTTCACGGGCAGCCAGCGGAGGAGAGACACCAGTCCGAGTTGGTCGTTCCGAGGCAACGACGCGCGCCCGCAGGACGTCCGCGACCCCCGACACACGCGCACGCACGCACGCACGCACCGGCGCACCAACCGGAGGAACCCGCGAACCGGAGGTTTGGACACCTCGGACCGGAGCGAGCGAGCGAGCGCGCGCGCGCTGCGAAACGGGATTTAAGTGGGAGAAGTTGGGCTTTCGCAACGGCGGTGCCCGCGCCGAGGACTCTCGTTGTCGAGTTGTGACGGGGATTTCGGACCCCCGCCGCCGGCCTCCGCCCCCCTCTCCCCTCCGCCGTGGCCACACCGCGAGGACTTACGGATTTTTAAGTAGTTTTGTGGGGTTTTATGAAGTTTTAGGGGAGAGAAACGGCTGTATTTCTTCTTCTGAAGCCTTGGGGACACCTGAAAGGATCCGATTTGCTGTCAAAACAGTTTACATTTGGTAAGTATCTTATTATTACTATTATTATTATTATTATTATTATTATTACTATTATTATTATTGTTGTCCACCCCGTGCTGCCAGTGAGGTGTGGGAGAAATGGGAGTGAATCCTCCGCGCGGAAGCGCCGCGCCGCGCCACGGCACAGGTGCCGCAGCGGAGCTGCGCGCAATCGGCGCGTTCCGGCCGCAGTCAGCGGGAGAAAAGGGGGAAGCCTTTTTCTGCGCGCGGTTCCACCTCGGTGCGGGGGACGCACGCACGGCGTTCTGCTTCTCGGCTCGTCAGTGCGGGCTGAACCGCGCGTGGCCCAGATTTGTGTCATTACGCGCACCGCGGGGGTGAAAACGATTATTTTCCCCTGAAAACGGCAATTGGTTTAACCTATTCCCGTATTCCAATTTAAACCAAGTTGCTGAGAGACTGAAGTCAGTTTGAATGCAGTTTGAATTAACGAAAATACCGACACTTAGGTTTCTCGCAATTTCCTGGAACAAGAGGAAAGCTCCACGCAGTGAGGAATTACGCACGTTTATCCGTCCAACCGGATAAGCGGCAGGACTGGATGCGTCTGGTAAAAGCTCGCTTTCCATCCAGCGTTGGTCAAACGTTTCCTCGTCCCGATTTCCCTGTCGAAAGGAAGCCAAACGTGGACTTTCGTCGCCAACGGGCGCTCCTCGGGACGAGCACGCCTCTTTCTCCGCGCCGCGGCGGTGACGTCTCCTCCGGTTAGCAGCAGGCGCATGAATCACGCGTCTGCCTCGCTGCCCGACGCCTCTCATCACGTCTGAAGTTCCTCCAGAAGCCCCCCCACCCTCCGGTGATCCTGACCCGTGTGAAATCCCATCACCGGAGGAAATGAACGCTTGCGCCTGTTGGATGTCCGAGGCGTTAAATAATAAATCGCATCTATTGACCCGGTTTCATTCGGAGGAG